TAAAATTATTTGTAGGGTCAGATCTTATAAAAAAAAAATCAAATAATCATGATGTTTTTATGCTCAATTATGTATGTTTTTATGCTTAATTATATGTAATGTAATTTGCCCCAAGGACGAAAATCCCGTTTAAAGTATTTTACCGTCTAGCAGATATATCGTAAGATATCAAGGATCTTCTCTCGTAACAGCCAATGCCGAACGCTGGTCCGTTCGTTCAGGTAATTAATGATCGCTAATTACTGGACATCTGGTGCTGGAAGGGATCCTTATTTATGACAGGAAGGTGGACGTCCATCTAGAGAAAGAAACGAAAAAGGAAATCATACGAAATCGCTAACGAGCTCTATTGTAGGGCACGTGCCGCTGTCCGCCTACGTATCTTGAAATGTGACGGATTCTTTTTTTCCTTCTCCCGATCTCGCCAATTTAACGGAAGAAGAGGACGATTGAAACCTACGTCCGTGTTTTGTCCATTTGTTCGTCATCTTGCCTCTTTCCGAGGATAGGTTTAGACAACTCGCTCAATCTTCGTCTTTCATATTGAACCTTTACGCATAACAGCAATATCGCCTCTAGAATTTAAAAATTTTATAAATCTTCGTATTATATTATTTTATTAGTAGAATTGCTGTAATACACAGTTAATCCTTCCATATGTGAACATTTTTTTAACATTGGATTATTTTTTATTTTTCATAATCTCCTGAAAGGAAAAGATCTTCTTCCCTCCATTTTTTGCTTTAGTTAATTCTTTTTATTTTCGAGATCTTTTTTTATAAATCCATCAATTTTTCAACGGACAAAAACCTGTGAACGACGGGTAGTCAAGTGGCTTCGAGAGCTAGCAGATAAAATATGTTTGGACGATCAGCGTGATAAATCTGCTGAGAGCAATTCGACATGCGTTAATTGATTATTTCAATAATTGACTAATTCAAGTGACTATCAAATCAATTAAGATGAACTCATACGTCAGCATTTTTTAAGGACATCATCATGTTCTCACATTATTCTAGTATCTTGTATCATTTTGCAATTACGTTTTCCTTTCGTATTTTGCTTTCGACGAATCTTATATCGCCTTCGGGGTCGAAATCACCACAAGCGATGTTGTCCAAAGAGTTTGACATGAATGATATTTTTCTTTTCTCATACATTTGATATACCTATAGCGCGTAGCTATTTTAAAGAAAAAGAAAAATATTGATATTTTTCTAGAGTTTGTAAATATTTACAAAGAATGTCATTGTAAAATAATATTTGATTATCAATTTGGGAAAAAATGCAGTTTATTTTGGATCTATTAATTTACTTATAAAAAAATATAATTTTTTATTCACAAACTGAAAGTGTTTCTTACGAATTAATTGTATTAAAAATAGGATTCTACAATCCTATCCTGCATAATTATATCTATTTAAAAAGAAATAACTTGCGAATTTAGATCCAATAGATACTACTATAATATTATACATTATTGACTTTTTCATGAATTGAGTTGCTTAATTATATATAAACATATGTCTATAACATGATTATTCTAAACGTTTGTAAATTAACGTTATATATTTCAATATATTGTATGTCGCGAACAAAACATGGTCAGCGACAGCTGCTGGTTGTCATATGCGTAACGCTATATTAATTTGCGTTCGTCCGGTCACTTCGGCAATGAAAGAAAGAGAATCGACCGAGGAACAACTGGACAAAGGACAGACGTGACGCGAGTAATTAGAGCGAAATTACGGAGCAGCGTCTATGCGAAGTAAGGCATTCTCACGGCATCAAAAAGATATTTTGCAATAGACGTACAAATATCATGCGACTTGGACAATCCCTCGAGAGAGAGAAAGCGACCACTATGCCGAAGACGTGGTGACAAAACCGAAAATAATGAAGACACTGTCAGAGGAAAGTGCACGTGAATCGTTCGCATCCGGAAGGGGTTCCGAAGGGAGGGGACGAAGACTTCCATAGAGAAACGGAAAGGTGGGCAACAAGTGCGTGTGCCGGTCACGCGCCCGCGTGCAGAACCGGAAAATCGACATTTATGCACGAGATGACCGGAAGAATGCGGTATGACATCATGCATCGCGGTTTAGCGATTCATTCTGCTTAATCATATCCAATCGACACAGCTGATACGCCTTGAAGAAGTTGAGACAAAGTAAAATCATCTGTCTCTTTTTTGTTTTAATTTTAAATGTACAACAACGCGTCACATGATATCGATTAAATTGGCGAGCAATTGCAATCATTTTTTTTTATTATTTGATGCTTTGTTATACAAACAACTTTAACAGTATTTATACAGAATGTTCCAAAAGTAATGATAAATCTTTTGCATGAGAAAATACGGTATTAAAAAATTCTAAAAACAATTCTTAGAGCTCTATGAGAAAAAAAATTTTTATCTCTTGCAATTTTTCTAAGAAGTTGATAGTATTTGAGTAAAAAATGATTCAATTTTCGGTAACTTTAGCAATTAATTTATTGTTAATTATTGCAAAAATTGCAAAATAGTAGAGGATTTTTCTTCTCAGTTTAGTTCGTTCTGCCTCTGTGCAGAAAAATTTATCGTTCCTTTTGAAATACTGTATATGTTTCGATCAGTAATATGAAACAAACTCTTATGAAATTTATGTTACTGAGGAGCACAAAAAACTGTTTTAAATTCTTTATAAAAAGTATTTTTAATTTTTTTTTTTTTTTTGATCATTTTCATACGTAACACAAGATAGCTGCTTATGGAACTTTTCTTTTAATATTCAATTCTTTCGAATATTAATATTTGATCCTTTCGAAGAAGAAGAAGAAGTATTAACAATATATCGTATTTATTTATTTATTTTTTTTTGTTACGAACACTGTTTTTATTTACAATAGTGTACAAAAGTATATTTTATTTAATACAATTAATATTACAAATATTTGCATCATATAATGAATTATAAATAACGACTTATAAATATATTTCCTTGTTTAGTTTACATAATACTTTTTATTTATAAAAAGTCTTTGACTAAATAAAGCCGATTATACAATAAATTCCTGAATGCGAATTTGGTTATTATTGTTCTTTACAAAGTTGCTTCTGCTTTAGAAGCTTCTGCTTTGGTGTTTTTACTTAAAAATGATCAAAGTTGATAATTGTAATCTTGACTAGATACGACATAATTACAAATTCACAATGAGATCCCTACAGCACAAAGCTGCACAAAAATTGCAGCAACATTGTTACAACATTGCAGCAACATTACATGTTGCAGCATTATTGCAGAGATTTTGCAGCGATATTGCTGTAAATTCTGTGATGTATGGATCACTTCAAGGAATAAATTGATCTTAAATCCAAATCCATTTCCACTTGACTAAAGAAAAAAAAGCGATGTCTAATTACACAGACACACACACACACACACGCGCGCGCGTGTGTGTGTGTGTGTCTGTATATCTATATAATAGCGATGACTAATATAATAATAATCAATGATAATTTGATTTTCTTTGACGGAAATAGTTGAAAAGTTAAATTACAACTTTGTTAAAAGTACAGAGAGTTGATGAGATACATAATATAATATAATATATTAGCCTTATAAATAAACATAAAATATGTCTTAAAAAACTGCCATACGTACACACAACATACATACAATGAGCTTCCTTTGCTACTATCACGCTTAGTCTTTGGATTTTTAGCTGTTTCATTTTTTATCTTATATTAAAACAATAGTAAAAAGTACATGAAATGCATGTTCGCTATTGCATTTGTGATACAAGTAAAAAATCTTATTAATACTATTTTTGATACTTAATTCAAAGTAACTAAAGATACATTAGAAATTTTAAAGTATAAACTTTAAAAAGTATTTGAAAAAATTGTCAGCACATTACGTATTTGTATATTAAAGTTGTAATTAAATAACTTATTGCCATATAAAATCATTCTTTGCATATAATAATAATAATAAAAATAATTATTAGCAAAAATTTTATAAGGATAATTAGGCTTTATTGGATATATACTTATTTAGATTAAATTGTGAGTATTAAAAATCGGTACCAGTTGTGTAGTTCAGTCTTATAATTTTTTACAATTACTATAAATATCTTGTTACGCTTTAGAAATATATTGAAATATTGTCTGTGCGTTTTATAATTAAACATCTCGGAATCATACGATAAAGACTAACAATTATTCATCTCTTTTACAATTAATGTTAATAATACGTATCGCAGTTTAAACACATTAAGCTTTAATGACTGATTTGAATTTAGGAGTAGAATACAACAATAATCTAATCCATTTATTAGAATTTGAGAACATTAATTTTGAAGTTAAAAATTATTTAAATATTAAAATTTTGATTTAAATATTAAATTAATAAAAAGAAAAAGTTTATAAAAGCCGACAAAGATTTTTTTATAATAAAAAATATAATATCTATTAATAAAAAATCTAGTTTCGACTATATTACTTTGGTCATCTTCAGTAACTGACGTAATACAAACTGTATACGCTTTTAAAATAAGTCGCTTGGTAAATTTATCGTAATAAAGATGTGTCCAAATTTTTAAAATCTTGAAACATCATAATATTTGTTTGTATTCAAACTTTGTATTCCAAATAATATGGTCGAAATGTCTAGATTTTTATTAATAAATATTATATTTTTTACACACGAAAAAACCTGTGTCGGCTCTAATAGACTTTTTCTTTTTATTAATTTAATTGTATTCAAGCCTTTACATTCTTTGTATTTTAAATATTAAGTATTATTTAAATATTAAGTATTAAAATTAAGTATTAAAATTAATCAAAGAATTCAAAATATATTCAATTTAATCTTTTTAAAAGAAAAGTTTATAATTAGAGGCTATTGTTGCACTGCAGGATTTATTGAAAATCAGTTTAAGTTTAAGAATGCATTTTTAGAGAAATGGTGCCAGAACATTGAAAGGGTACACATGATACTTGCGTTTTCGGAATCCATCTATCTCTTGCTGTCGTGTCTCTGTAGAAGATCGCATAAGGCGGCTATGTAGCTCTGTGCCATCTGCAGGGTCTCGAATTTGCTCAGTTTGTGATCGGTTCCGAGGCTTGGCACAACCTCACGTAGCTTGTCGAAGGCGTCGTTCAGGCCGTTCATGCGACGTCGTTCACGTGCGTTTGCAGCGAGACGTCGACGCTTTAGCACTGTCGGCGACGGTGGCACATCGCGGGATCTCCGTCTGCCTTTTCGCGGACTTACTGGTGGCGTCGTCGGCATCTTCTGAAAAAAAATTGCAGCTTGATTGAAAAATCACGCACTCGATGCACGCTTTCGATTATTATTATCATCAATTGTTAATAATTAGGATAAATAAATATTATTGGAATTTAATTATTAGCTCTATTCACTTGAAATATCTAATAGCCGTTAAATTGCAATTTAAATCAACTTTTAACGAGAATTCAAAGAAAATAACAGTTACTTGTGTCGATATGATGGGCTCCCAATAATTGGCGCGAGGTTCGACGATGGTGAGAATCGGCTTGCTGTTCTCCAGGGGTTGATATCTCGGTTCTTGAGGAGGCGTTTCATAGCAATACGACGGTGACTGATAGTCCACTGAACTTTCCTCGTATAATGTCGATCGCGGCGATGTGGTCTGATCCATCGAGTGTGGCTCGTATCTATAAATTCGCGAGAATGACGAACCTTGAAATAATCATTTCGATGAAATTCTTAGCGCGTGCGTTTACCTTTGCGGAGTGACAGGAGTTAAAGCACCGTAAGATCCTCGATCGTATCCTTCTGGAGTTTTCGTGTATTCCGATACCATGTCCTTAGTGTAATCTAGTGTCTCGATGTCTCTTCGCGGTGTGAGCTCGTTCTCGTGTGTGCAGTTGTCTCGATACACGATTCTTGTAGACTCATAGTTTGGAGAATTATACGGCGACGGATACAGGGGATCGTAGCTCCTCATTGAATTCGGATAAGCGGGTGTTAACATGTCAGATTGTGTGTTTTGGTAGTTGCAGTGATGATTCGATAGCAGAGCCATGATTGAAAAAATTACTTGGTCGACTTGGCACAACGAGAATATATATCTCTATGCGTAGCATATACAGTGCCTCATCAGAGTTGTCTCGTAAGATGAAGTGTAGCGGAAGATTTTCTTTTTACAAGTCCGAGATTTTTATATAAGCAAAATTTTCACGACATTGCTACAATCTTCATTAAATTCTCTTGACGTCACATTGAAGAAAGAGTTGAAGCACAAAATTCATCAGGATTGATTCATATTTCATTGGGTTTGTCAACGCAGCCAAGTGATGGCTTTTAGGCAGTTTAAACGTAATCTTACAGGTCTAATACTTAATACACATCGTATTAATTAAATGATTTAAACGATTTCATTACATCTAACGAAATATATCCGATATAATATTAAGAGCTGGATTTCTTGTGCGTGAAAAATACTGCATGTACTCGACACATCACCTACGCGAAATCGATCCGATTGAATCTTTGCGCAAACTATATCTTCGCTGATAGTGTCTCAGTTCACTGCGTTCCTTGTGTCGAACATCTTCTACACGTAGACCGTGAGAAAGGAACATCGAAGCCGAACTGTCAGGCGTTCGATCAGGTCGGAAGGACGCTAAGGTGGACACCACAGCCCCGATCTTCTCGGTGTAAAGGCTCGAGTTTGAGTGCGCTTGGCGCGTGCCAGAGTTCCCGTCAGCAGATCAACATATGGTTCCCACCTTGTTTTCTACCTATCCCTATGGACGATATGTACACCTGGCAGCGACTCATTCGGGTTCTTTCTGTATCTACCCCTCTTCTCTTCAGGTTCTTCGACATCCGTTCCGCAGGCACGCCCGCGCCGCGAGTCTGTCCTACCTCCGCGACCTGCCGAGAAGCGACCTCCGGCCTAAAAGAAAGATGCTCGCGGGTGTTCTTTGGAAAGAGTTCATTGTTCTGTTATTATAAGCGGATGTGCGGCAAAACATAAAGGAGAAATTAAAAAATTGAAAATATTATTTCTATATATTCCTGAAAAATGAAAAATGAAATAAAATATTGATAAATTAACTCCTTCAGACTTTGCATCGTAATATATATATATATATAGGTTTATCAAATTTGATGATATTATTCGTTAAAATAATTTAATTCTATCAATATTTGAGATCTCTGATAGAAATAGGCCTTGGTAGTCTAAAGGCTAAGGACATGCAAGAATCGCACGGAATGCAAGAAATCCGAGTTCTGGCCAAGATAATATTCATCGCAATAAATAAATTTATTTACAGATAATCAAATTATTCTGATTGAAGAATTTAAAAAAAAATAAAAATTGCCAAAAGAGAAAGGCTATCAAAGCTTGTTATTAATAAAGCCAATAATTAATCTATCTTTAATATTTAATCGATATAAACATTTAATATACAGATATTTCAACTTTTATCAGATCTTCTTCGGTGTAATACATAAAAATTAAACAATTAAATTT